GACCTGCGCTGGGGGGATGGGGGGAGCCGGAGAGGAGCTGTGGGGGGGCGTCCTCCGGGCTTTCGGTGGGAGAAGCGTCTGCAGCCCGGGAGGAGGTGGAGGCTGGAGCCTGGGTTCTCGGAGGGGGAGAGCTGGTAGTTCTGCCGGGGAGGTCTGACCTGCGCTGGGGGGGTGGGAGGGAGCTGGGGAGGGAGGAGCTGTAGGGGGGCGTCCTCCGGGCTTTCGGTGGGAGAAGCGTCTGCAGCTCCGGAGGAGGTGGAGGCTGGAGCCTGGGTTCTCGGAGAGGGAGAGCTGGTAGCTCGGCCGGGGAGGTCTGACCTGCGCTGGGGGGGCGGGAGGGAGCTGGGGAGGAGCTGTGGGGGGGCGTCCTCCGGGCTTTCGGTGGGAGAAGCGTCTGCAGCTCCGGAGGAGGTGGAGGCTGGAGCCTGGGTTCTCGGAGAGGGAGGGCTGAGCTTCTGGATCCTCGAAGGAGGAGGAGGCTGGGAGCTCTGGAATCCTGGGCTCTCCAAGGGAAGGGCCCAGGACAAGGGTTGTTTCTGGGTTCTCAGAAAGCGATGTCTGAATCTTTGGGTCCTCAGTGAGGGTGGGGGGAGTAGCTTTGATTTCTGCGATCGCAGAGAGGGGTTGAGAGGTTGGGATTCCTGGGTTCTCACAGGATAAGAGGACTGCTGGCCTGAGTTCTCAGAAAAGCGGGGCTGGGGGTGGATTCCTTTATCCTGGAAGGAGGAAGGTTCTGGAGGTCCGGATTCCCCTGTTCTCAGAGGAGAAGAGCAGAGGGTAGGACTTCATGATCCTCAACAACTGGGGACTAGGGGGAGAGGATTCCTGAATCCTCCAAGGGGAAAGAGCTGAAGGACGGACTCTTGGGTTCTTACTACAAACCTCTGCCCCTCCCCCAGACCATGTCGCCTGAAGAGTGGACTTATCTAGTGGTTCTTCTTATCTCCATCCCCATCGGCTTCCTCTTTAAGAAAGCTGGTGAGTCAGGTTCCCTCCCTAGTGGAAAATTGGGGGGGGGTGTCGGGGAGACCAGGCAAGGGGACTCCCTGGAAGGTTCCAGGCTTATGCTGTCCCTTCTCCCTGCAGGACCTGGGCTGAAGAGATGGGGGGCAGCAGCTGTGGGCCTGGGGCTCACCTTGTTCACCTGTGGCCCCCACACTTTGCATTCTCTGATCACCATCCTTGGGACCTGGGCCCTCATCCAGGCCCAGCCCTGGTGAGGATTTGGTGGGGGGGCATGGGGAGGGGGGAAACAGAGGGGAAGGAGGAAGCAACCTGTTTCCTCCTTGGGTCTGTCTCCCTTTCTGCCTTTGTCTCTGATGTCTCTTGTTAATCTCTGAATTCTCTGTGTCGTTTGGCCTATTTTTCTTTTTTTTTTTTTCCTCTTCTGCCTTTTCTTCTGGGTCTCGTCCCTGTGTGTTTGACCTGTTCCTTGATGTCCAAATCATGTATTCAGGAGAAAGGAGGACTTGCACTGGCCCTGCCACCGTTCGTGTTTCTGTTACGTCTCTCTCCCTCCCTTTTGCTTGCCTCCCACAGAAAAAATGGAGGACCGGAGGGTTTTCACCCGAAAGCTTCTCTTGAGCCTTCCTCCTTCTGTGTCGTGGTGCATCTCTGTGTGGCTGCACCCCTTCTTCCACGGTCACTCTCCCATTTTCTGTGGGCGGTGTGGGAGGATCTGTAGCTAGAATCTGGGGGAGGCGGAGGCCAGGGCCCTGTACCCAGCACAGCTGGCCTTCTGCCTTTGCCCCAGCTCCTGCCATGCCCTCGCCCTCGCCTGGACTTTCTCCTACCTCCTGTTCTTCCGCGCACTAAGCCTGCTGGGCCTGCCCACTCCCACGCCCTTCACCAATGCCGTCCAGCTGCTGCTCACGCTGAAGGTCAGACTCCCCTCCAGCCCTCCCTTTGTGCTGCCTGAACTCCCCATCCTCACCTCCTCCTCCCGCCCACTCCCATGGGGAGTAGGGGAGGCGGGCTTTTATCTCCCACGCACCCCAGTTGTGGGACTTCACCTCTCAGCTATTCTCTGGGGGTAAAGAAGTACATACCGCCCCCCAGCCCCGTAGTGTAACCGTCGGCGTCCTTTGGTGTGTGCAGCATGCCAGAGCGTGAGCTAAGTGCTTCACCGGCGTGTTCTTGAGGAGCGCGTGTTGGTCGCAAGCCATTTATCAAAGTAGGAAAAACAGCTTTGGAGAGAAGGCATTTATCTAAGGGCACAAAACCAGGAACGCCCGTGTCTGGCTCTGTATCACCTGGGAAGATGTGTGAAAGCAGATCCCCAGACCCACCCCAGACCGAAAAGTCAGGAGCTCCTGGGTGCTGAGCTCCAGGACAGTCACGCGAGGTAGTGAACCAGGTCTCGTCGGCGTCCTGGCTTCTCCGCGGGAAGGCGGGGACAGGCGGGAGTGGGTTAGCCAAGAGCTGGAGGAAGAGCCTTTCAGGATGTGGGAGCAGGCCTGTGCTAGCCCCAGCGAGTGTTCATCAGGAGAAGGAAGGGGGACGGGGCCACAGTGAGGGCTCTGCGCTTCCCATGGGGCCCAGGACCCACCGGAAGTGGTGGTTTGGTTTGTTGCCAGAAGAAAGAAAAGTGACCAGGTTTACATGTCTGGAAATACGCTCTGGATGCTGATGGAATGGCCACGGGAAGGGCAAGAAGAGTGAGGATGGCCTCCTTGATCAGAGGTCTGCTGACAAGCAGTGGTGGCTTGATAGTCAGAACTCCAGCAGGAGATCCTGCATTGGGGGTGATTTGAGGAGCCAGAGGGGACAGTGCGGGAATCCTGGACCAGCAGCCGGGGAGCCCCCACCTTGAGAAGATCAGTCGAGGGGCACAGTCAGCCCCAGGTGATCTTACAAGGGAAGGAAAGCCCAGCCCTCACGCCTGCCTGCCCCCTCTCCGCCCAGGGCTCTTGATCGGCAGGACCCGATCGATCGATCGATCGATCGGCAGGACCCTGGGGGAAGCTGGAAGCCGGGCTGAGGCCTGCTGCTGCAGGCTCGGCCCAGGGTCTGCGGAGAAGGGTAGAGAGCAGGTGTCGGAGAAGGGTAGAGAGCAGGTGTCGGGGCGGGCAGGCCACACACATTCAGCCCCGGGAGGGGGGAGGCAACACAAAAGCGACAGACTCTGAGACCTACGGGATTGGATTTGGGGAATAAGGAAGGTTTCTGTCCTGAGCGATTAATTGGCTGCTGGTGGCATTTGCTGAGGAGACAGGCTGGAAGAGGCCCCGCTGTGGGGAGTGTGGGTGATACCGTGTTCCCCTCTGGAACCCCGTAGGCACCTGACTACTAATGACAGAAGGCTTCTTGAGGGGCTTGGGGGTTGGAGGGAGGAGCCCAGTCCGGGGTATGGTTTGGAGACCATGAGAGCGTGAGCAGTATCAAGCTGCGGGCTGCAGAACCCAGAAGGGGGAGCACCGAGGTGGAAGGGCCCAGGAGGGAGGGTTGGCAGGCAAGAAGCCGCTACCCTGCCTCTGCTGTCTGATCTGCGCCCTGCCCTCGCCCCTTCCTCCCAGCTGGTGAGTCTGGCCAGTGAAGTTCAGGACCTGCACTTGGCCCAGAGGAAGGAAATGGCCTCCGGCTTCAGCAAGGGGCCCAGCCTGGGGCTCCTGCCCGACGTTCCCTCCCTGATGGAGACGCTCAGCTACAGCTACTGCTATGTGGGAATCATGACAGGTGAGTGTGCCTGCACCCCCAGGCCTGCCTCCTGCGCCTCGGCACCCTGTCTCCACCGCGCACCCCGGGGTCTGTGCCCGCTCAGAGTCCTGCCTCCACGCCGGCATCTGCTGCTCTAAGGCGAGCATTGCGGCCTGGCTCTAGCTCGGACTCTCCCACGGCTCCCCCAGAGGACAGACGGACTGTTCTCGGCCTCAGGGATTCCTGTGGCTTCTCGGGAGCACAGGCGATGAAGCAGAAAGGTCTGCACAACCCTGATGTTTCTGCCACCAGGGAACAAATGTTCACGTTCTGTTCCCACTTTCGCCTCAGGGAGCATTTTTCACTCACGTCGACCTCCCAGAAGGCTCTTCTTTTGACGGCAGCTTTACCGAACCGTAGTCGATAC